AAAACCCCCCCCCCCCCCCCCAAATGTATAACCTATCCATAAAATAACTTCCATGGTGAATTTCCAATGTAAATAGGTCAGGGTCAACTACATATCATTAAATAATGAGAGTTACTTCCTATCTACCACATTTATCACATATACTAGTTAACTAAAGTACAAACACAACCAATCTCTATCAATACAATATAAAACATAACATAACATAAACAATTGCAATTAAAAATTGCATAGGGGGCCACAAAAGACCAAGTATAGGAATCTAAGTCAGACCAAAATCTACAGTTTAGGGACCACTAAAAATAACTTTTTCGTGTATTAATAGTACAATATTCGTCAAACCCAGCTCCAGTGAGAGAAAGTGAGACAAAGTCAGAGAAAGTAAGGGAAAAGTGAGATAAAGTGGACACTTAAAATAGATAGGATGCTCTCCACCATCTCTTAGCACAAAACCCATTTCGTCGATCAGTCAAACCTTAATGTCGAAGAGATTCGCTCTCGATTCCCCCTAAATTTGCCAGCACCCTTCACTCTGCCCAACCCAATTCTAATCGCAGAAAACCCTAACCTTTCAATTTGAAATGTAAATCACGATCTCTCCTACTAATATAAGGGAAGTAAGAGTTGGATCGTGAAATGACGCATTTATTCTTCAAAATGGGTCACGTGCAAAAACTGACAGCAAAGTGGATGGGAGTCTTAAGAATCTGACGGTAGGTCCTCAATTGACGATTTTTACAAAGTTCGAGTCCTTAATTTACCTAATAAATTATTAAAGGGCTAAATTAACAATATGTGAATAGTTCAAGGAGCAAAACCATAGAAAACCCATAAAAATATGCACGTCTCACTCAATGGCGGAACTAACAAGAGGCTCCCATGGGCTGTAGCTTGGGGCTAAGTTTTCAGTATAAGCTTTAGTGTATAAGCAAATATACTATAATTCAATATTAGCCCATTAACACCACACAATAGTTCTGTTTTATCTCAGCCCACACAAAAGAATAAAATAAGACAAAAACACATTTACAGCAAGATTTAAAAAATGGAAAGGAATATAATAGCATATCATTAAAATAAGGCCCACATGCTGCTCTGCTCTTGTTCGGTGGTTCTTCAATTAGGGCAACAACAACAGTCATTAAAATATTAGCATAATAGCATATCATTGAACCCTAAACAAACCAAAGATTCGAAATAGTAAAAATAATCACCACAGCAACAGACAGTAAACCCCAAAAAGAAGAGGGCTTTGAAACAAAGTACAAAGTACACTGAAACATCTGCTCTCTACTTTTCTTTTTCGAAATCATTCAATGGGTTCTTCAATATTAGTAGGTTTATCTCTTTTTTCTTATTTAATTCTAAATTTGAGTTGTTATTGTTAGATTTTTAAGGTTTGAGCATTTAATTTTGGGGATTCTTAAGAATATATATGATTGTTGGTGTATGATATTTTTTTGTTAGGATATAATGTCACATGATAATAATAGACCGACGAAGAGAGGAAAGACTATTCATTCATTCTTTAGAAAAAGTGGTAATGATAATGAGAATACACCTTCTGCATCTAACGTTGATACTGAGAATACACCTTCTACATCTAATGTTGATACTTCAATTCAGTTTGACACTAGTTCTTTAGAACGAGATCCAGGGAAACGTATTCCAATTTGTGAACACCTAATTAATAAGTGTGATGAGATTCGAAGGGCTTATATCAAATTAGGGCCTTATCTTGAGTATCCAAAGACTTTGTTCTGGCAACAAAGACGTCAATTTCAATATTCTTGATTCTCACAATTTTCATGGTTAGAATATTCTCCTACAATGGATAAGGTATATTGTTTACCATGCTTTGTGTTTGAAAAGAATCCAGCAAATGGGTCTTTACTAATTACTAATGGGTTCAATAATTGGAAAAGAGTGAATGATGGAAAGAAATGTGCTTTTTTGCAACATGTTGGAGGTCAATCTTCACCACATAATACTTGTGTAAGATGTGCTGATGATTTAATAAAATCATCTCAACATATTGAGAAAGTTATTCACAAACAACCAAAAGAAAAAATTTGGAGGAATCGGTTAGGCTAAAGCAACAATTAAGAGTGTTCGGTGGCTTACATTTCAAGCATGTGCTTTTAGAGGTCATGATGAATCCATAGACTCAATTAATCGAGGAAATTTCATTGAATTGATAAAATATACAACACATTGGAATGATAAAGTTGCTAAAGTTGTTTTAGAAAATGCCCCGAGAAATACTAAATATACCTCACTATTGATTCAAAAGGAGATTTTGCATATTCTCGCTAACAAAGTGAGAGCTAAAATTTGTGAGGAAGTTGGGGAATTGACTTATTTTTTTCTTATTGATGAAGTAAAAGATGCATCTAATAGATAGCAAATGACCATTGTTTTTAAGATTTGTTGATAAGGATTGTTTTGTACGAGAACATTATTTTTGAGATTGTGAGGGTTGAAGACACTAGTTCTTCAACACTTAAAACATAGATATCTCGAGTCCTAATTAATTGTGATCTCCAAATTGATAAAATGTGAGGTCAAAGATATGATGGTGCTAGCAATATGTGAGGTGCATGGAATGGAATACAGGCATTATTTCTTAGAGATTGCCCTTATGCATTTTATGTACATTGTTTTGCTCACAGACTACAGTTAGCATTAGTTGCAGCAACAAAAGATGTTGCTCCTATTTGGCTATTCTTTTCAACCTTGAATTCCATTATCAATCTTATTACTGCTTCTCCTAAGTGCCATGGTGAGTTACAATCTACTCAAGCAACTGATATTGCACATATGCTAGATATTGGTGAACGTGAGACAGGTAGAGAGGCTAATCAAATTGGTACCTTGCATCGGCCTTGTAACATCTCACATCGACCAACGGAGAGTGAGTGATGTGCCTTATATGTACATGCCCGCCTCCATCTAGCACGAGGCCTTTTGGGGGCTCACTGGCTTCAGAGTCATGGGAACTCCGAAGTTAAGCGAGTTGGGGCCATAGCAATCCCATGATGGGTAACCCACTGGGAAGTTGCTCGTGAGCTCCCAGAAACAAAACCGTGAGGGCAGAGATGGGGGCCCGAAGTGCACAATATCGTGCTATGGCGGAGTCGATCCTAGGATGTGACAGGCCTGGAGCTACTCGTTGGGGTTCTCATTATGATTATGTTTCGAACTTGATAGATATGTATAATGCATCTTGTTTAGTGGTTGAGACCTTAATTAAGGATGGAGCCACTAACTCTATATGCGGCGAAGCTACTGGTACTTTCAAAGCGATAACATCTTTTGAGTTCATATTTGTCTTGCATTTGTCGGAAAAAATTATGGGAGTTATTGATGGCCTTTGCCAAGCATTACAAAATAAATCTAAAGATATCTTGATTGCTATGAATTTAATTCGTAGTACAAAAAATGTTCTTAAGAAATTAATATTGGATGGTTGGGATATTTTCTTTGAGGAAGTGGAATCATTTTGCAAAAAACATGACATTGATATGTCAGATATGAATGCTCTTTACAAAATTGGTACATGTCATTCTTGTCAACAACGTGATGATATTACAGTTGAACATCACTACTGGGTTGATTTATTCAATGATACCATAGATTATCAATTGGAAGAGTTAAATACTAGATTTAGTGAAGGAACAATAGATCTTCTTACTCTTAGCTCTGCTTTGGACCCTAGCAATGAATTTAAAGCATTTAAGATTGATGATATTTGCAAGCTTGCAGAGAAAATTTATCCAGGAGATTTCACTTCTAAAGACTTACGTTTATTGAGGTATCAGCTAGAACTTTTTGAGTCTAAAGTACATCTTCATATCTTTCAAAATATGTGTACTCTTTCTGAACTATGTCAACGATGAACTCAAACAAACAGAGCACATACATATTATTTGATTGATAAGATGATTCGTTTAGTGTTAACTCTTCTAGTTTCTACAGCGACTACAGAATGAGCATTTTCAGCTATGAAATATATTAAAACTGTACTTTGCAACAAGATGGAGGATGAGTATTTGACAGATTCCCTTATTGTCTGCATTGAGAAAGAACTTTCTTTGGATATTGATTCAGATTCAATAATCACATATTTTGAGAAACTCAAGGAGCGTAGGATTCTACTTCACTAGGATGTTTGGCAATATGTGTTTAATTTGATGTTTGACAATGTGTTTAATTTGATGTTTGACAACATGTTTAATTTGATGAGTGACCATGTGTTTAATTTGATGTTTTACATATATTATGTACTTCTTTGCATTATATTTGTTTGGTATGTGAATGAACTTGATTGTTTTAAGAAAAATAAGTGATATAACATATCAACAAATATTCTTGGCTCCGCCATTGGCCTCACTGCTGTTAAAGAGATGCCATAATGATTCATTGGCTGTGGACAGTAGGAATATGAAGATGAAAAGACTTTGCTTGGGCAACTGATATTTTTCTTCCACAATCACAAGGGTCATTTTCTTCACATTAATCACATGCAAATTTGAAAAAGGTCCAGACTTAAGAGTTGAGACTTAAATAGTGACGCATGACAGTGGAAAATATGACCTTCCAATTGCAAGTTAACTTATTTATGCACGTTTTTTGTGATTGAAAATAAAAAAGTGCAACTAGAAATGACAATTAGGCTAATTGTTTTTCCGGGTAAACCAGGGTAAGGAAGGGTCGTTGCGATTTTCCAAATTCACACAATACACGTCTCTTACTATACCAAATTCCAACACGTGACTTTTTGTTATTTTCCCTTTTATTTCCACACATCTTATTGCTGTTCCAATCTGCTCCACATAATTTGGTGGGGTCCAATCCAATTCCGGCATCACTCAAATCCACATAGAAGTTGATCTACAATCAGAAAGAATTCTGATAATGACACGTGGTTCTTTAAGTCTAATGAATTTTACGTTTATTTGGCATGTACAGTGAATTTTATTGAAATATTCTTAGACCACGTATTTTGACCAGTTTAGATACAAACAGTCAAAAGGCAAAATCCCAAATAGAATCATGCATATATAATCTCTCTCTGATGCTGAATTGCTTTTAGACTACCATGCTTAGGTTCCAGATTTTCTTTGTTCCCCTACCTTGGAGAAATTTAATTTCCAAGTAGAAAAGTCTTTCCTATTATATTATATATAATTTTCTTGTATATATAACTACATATTTCTAGCTACTTGTTAGAAATATTGAATCTACCATTTGGCAGCATGGAGCTTCTGCAACTTTTGTTCCTAATCTCCATTGCCACAACCACAACCTTGTGCTTGTCTACCACAAATCAGGATTATTCATTGAAAAAGCAGATAGTTGGGCTCGCCAATGAGTTTCACACAGTAAATTGGATGAAGAATGTGAGGAGAGAAATCCATGAAAACCCAGAACTTGCATATGAAGAATTCAAAACAAGTGCACTCATTAGGCGCGAGCTTGACAAGCTTGGTGTTGCATATACATGGCCTGTGGCGCATACTGGTGTGGTGGCCACTATTGGCTCTGGCTCTCCTCCCTTTGTTGCTCTGAGAGCAGATATGGATGCTTTGCCCATTCAGGTTAGCTAAGTCAATTTAGTTTAAATTCGTTTACCTTAATTGTTGGGTTTGATCAGATTGATATACTCTGTTGCTTTGATCCTTATACTTGTGTCAAGGAAATCAGATACAAATGTTTTACCCTTGTTTTTGCAAGGGCAATTCAATTGTTGGGTTTTAATCACATAGATGTATATTTCTGCTCTGTATTCGTTTTCATTAGCTTTTAATCAAAGTGCTTGTGACAAGTAATTGTGGTAAAAAGACTTAAGACATAAATGGTACAGCAGGCTACTTTTCCTTGATCCATAGAACCGTAGCCTTTCGAGCTTTTGTTGATGAGCATGTGAAGTGAAACAGAGAACCCTTTTATCTCCCCCGCAATGTCATACAGAACATGACAAAAGCTAAGCTTTATATAGCTCAAAATCATAATGTAGGAAAAGAGAGAAATAATCAAAAGCATCAAGTGCAGTGTTCAATTTGATGTTCTTAATCAAAAAGAACTTTATATATTTATAAATTTTTCATCTTTTTTCGGTCACCTTATAAATCTACTATCACATTGTTACAGGGAACAGTTGTTCTTATATTTCAACCAGCTGAGGAACGCGGCATAGGTGCGAAGGACATGATCAAAGAAGGGGTGCTTGATAATGTGGAGGCCATCTTTGGGTTGCACGTAGTGCATAGATATCCAAGTGGTGTTGTTGCATCAAGGCCTGGAGAATTTCTAGCTGGTTGTGGGAGCTTCAAAGCAAAGATTCATGGAAAAGGGGGTCATGCAGCAATTCCTCAACAATCCATTGATCCAATTGTGGCAGCATCAGCATCAGTGATTAGCTTGCAAAACATCGTCTCGAGAGAGGCAGACCCTTTAGATTCCCAGGTATATTGCTTATTTGTGTCATTTGGTCTGCAATTATTTAGAAAAATGCAGGAATTTGTAAGACAGTGCTGAGTAATGCATTGACCATTAATGCAGGTGGTTTCTGTAGCTATGATTCAAGCAGGGACTTCATTTAACATCATCCCGGAATCAGCTACAATTTCCGGTACTTTTAGAGCTTTTAGCAAGAAGAGCTTCAATGCAATCAGGGAAAGAATAGAAGAGGTAACAAATTTCCCATATAGATCAAAGTATATCAGTTCCTAATTGGGTATTTAACATCAAAGACATTTCTTTTTTGAATGTTTATTCAAACCTCTTTCTTCCTGTCAGGTTGTAAAAGGGCAGGCAGCTGTACATAGGTGCTCTGCTGAGATTGAATTCTTAGGAAATGAACATCCTAGCATCCCCCCTACTATAAACGATGAGAGAATTTACGAACAAGCAAGACGCATTTCAACCGAAATAGTAGGAAAAGAAAACACAAAATTAGCTCCTACCTTCATGGGGAGTGAGGATTTTGCTTTCTACTTGGATAAGGTACCTGGGTCAATGCTATTTTTAGGCACAGGAAATGAAAAGAAAGGAGCCATATATGCGCCACATAGTCCTTACTTTTTCATTGATGAGGATGTGCTTCCTATTGGTGCTGCAATACATGCAGCTTTTGCCCATTCTTACCTATCAGATTCAACTGGGAAGTTGCACCTTCATATCTGAAAGTCCCTTCTTCTTAGTTACTCCAATTATTTCATTAAATGTGAAGTATACAACTTACTTGTTCCTCCATTGGTGTTTCTTCAAGCTGGATGGTGGAAGTTCTACAGAGACTTGCCGGTTATGTATATATTTATGATTTAAATTCATATCACAAGTTCAGTCTGTTTCACAAATCAGCTCACTTATACGTTCATCTCAATTGGTCTTGTTAACCAAATCCTTGATATCTCCACCAGATGGTAAATGAAGTTTTTCCTTCTTTCTTTTATGTTTGTGCCTTTGAGTATGTGTGTTCTGAGTGTGCATACGGATGGTTTCATATATTTGTAACAGCCAGCACCTTTCAGGTTTTTTTATTTAGAGACCCTTAATTCCATATTAAAGGATTCAATCAATGCTTGAATACGCTTATAGCAGAGATTATTACAAAATTCCAACCAACATCACAAAAACATATTAAACAGAAACTATGACATGTGAAATTCCAAACATACCATGCTGACAATTACATAATCCAGATTACAAACGAAACCATAAGCTGAGACTAACTGTAAGATTAACAGAGGCAGCGATCAGAGCTTCTTCCTCCTCTAGGCAACAAAGGCAGCAACCAAAGCAAAGAAGGCAACAGCCATTGATGGACATGTGAAGCCACCGCCAGAGGGTGGCGCTGCAGGGGTAGCTGCCCCCATACCGGGCATGCCTGGCATGTCAGCTGCAGAACCAAGCACAACTAGTAGGGCAAAACACAGAGTAAACATTGCCAATGTGATCTGAGAAGCCATGACAAGCCCTTGACTTTTGATAGCAGAGAGATTTACCCTTTTTTGCTTATAGCCATTAACCATACAGATTAGACTATATATACAAGATGATGGGGGTGCCTTGTTCGGTCGGTCCTATGACTTCGTTAATCGTTATGGAGAAATGTACAAGGCTACAAGCTGTCAGCTTCTGTACTATCTCCTCTCTGAGCTTTAAAACTTGTTCTGCCTACTTGGTTTGTCTATTTTATCTAGGAAAAAATGAATAGTTAATTGGCTTTTCATTCTTGCCTAGAAATTAAAAATGGGAATTAAAAAAGACAAGTCAACAACAAGAAAAACAAACATAACCTTTGGTCTCAATGATGAGTATTTAACATAGAAGGCTAAAAGCCCTTCCACATAAAGATATAACACCACATTTTAGAATTTCAGAGTTTTTGGTAAAAATGTCGTTGTGCTCCTAATAGAAAAGCTTATAGCAAAAGTAGTTATGACCATAAGCGTTTCTTTACATAAACACTCCCAGATTTGCGTTAATGTTTTGGTTGACGTTGACACCACGTGGAGTGTCTATAACGCTAGGGTTACGTTGAGGAGGTGTGTTAAGAGTTTCAATCACTACTACAAAAAGTGAAAAAGATGACCAGAAAAAGACGACGGTAGAAGAAAAAACCGTCGTTGTATTTAAAAAGATGACGGTAACAAAAAACCGTCGTGGATAAATGACTTAAACAACTAAAAACCGGAGATACTGTTGAATATTTTTTTATAACGACGCACACAAATAAAAAAATGTCGTCTTATTAAAAAGGTTTTCTTCAAAGTTAAAATCTGACCAAAAAATAACGACAGCAGGTATGACAAACATCATCTTTTAAAAATCAAGTGTCATTTTTTTGGTAAAGACGTGGTTGTTTTGATAAAAACCGTCGTCTATTATATGTAAAGATGACGCTTTTGATAAAAACCGTCGTCTATCGTATGTAAAGATGACGTTTTTTATAAAAACCGTCATATATTGTATGTAAAGATGACTCTTTTTATAAGTCGTCGTCTATTGTATGTAAAGATGATGCTTTTTATAAAAACCGTCGTCTATTGTATGTAAAGATGACGTTTTTTATAAAAAAAGTTGTCTACTATATGTAAAGATGACGCTTTTTATAAATAAAAAAAAGGTCGTCTATTGTACGTAAAGATGAGGCTTTTTATAAAAACCGTCGTCTATTGTATGTAAAGATGACGCTTTTTATAAAAACCGTCGTCTATTGTATGTAAAGATGACGTTTTTTATAAAAAACGTTGTCTATTGTATGTAAAGATAATGCTTTTTATAAAAACGGTTGTCTATTGTATGTATAGATGACGCTTTTAAAAAACCGTCATTTATTGTATGTAAAGATGACGATTTTAATAAAAACCGTCGTTTATTGTATGTAAAGATGACGCTTTTTATAAAAACCGTCGTCTATTGTATGTAAAGATGACGCTTTTTTTTAAAAACCGTCGTCTATTGTATATAAAGATGACGCTTTTTATAAAAAAAAATCGTCGTCTATTGTACGTAAAGATTACTCTTTTCATAAAAACCGTCGTTTGTTTTACGTAAGATGATGCTTTTTATAAAAAAAACTGTCATCTATTGTATGTAAAGATGACGCTTTTTATAAAAAAAACCGTCGTCTAACAATTAAGAGTTTATCTATACTTTCGTTAAATATAACATAAGATTTTGTGGTATCCACTAGTGTAAATATTTTAAATTGAAGAAAAAATTCAGTCACTGTATTCATATAGGGTTGTAGGGGGTTTTTTTGTTCCAGCAGCCTGACGAATGGGCCTGGGCTGCTGTGAGAAGGCAACGAGCAAAAATCCCCCAAATGCCTGGGTTCGAAAAACAAGCTCCCAAGAGAGTTTTTAGAAAATCTAATGAGATTTTAAAAGAACACTCTCAGGATCACTTCACTAACACCCAAATAAGCATGAGGATTTCATTAATGGCTTAGCTTGAGGAGCATGTGGCATGGGAGCTAAGCTTTCACAAGTTTAGCAATTTGAGAGAGAGAAAACAGCGTGGGTTTCTTACGGAGGAAATATCAGTGCGAGCCCTATCCTAAGAAGAAGAAAGATGAACAGAAGAGAGGTTTGGGTGGCTTGAGAAAATTCCAGATTTG